GTTAATGGATTTAAAGGGAAACATAGACTCCACTACAGTAGTAATGGGGACTTCAATAATCAACTTTCAGCAATGGACAGATCAACCAGACAGAAAATCAGCAAGGAAACAACAGAGTTAATTGCCACTGTAGACCAAATGGACCTAATGGATAGCTACAGGACTTTTTATCATACAAATGCACAATACACATTCTTCTCACCAGTGCATGGGAACTTTCTCTAGGATAGACCACATGCTAGGCCATTAAGCAAATAGAAAAAAACTGAAATCATCCCATGCATCTTCTCTGGCCACATGGGATGATGCCAGAAATCAACATCTCGGGAATCTCTAGGACATATGTAAACACATGGAGACTGAACAACATGCTCCTGAATGAACAGTGGGTCACTGAAAAAATCAAGAGAAATCAAAACATTTGTGGAAATGAATGAAGATGACAACGTATCAAGGGATACAGCAAAAGCAGTGTTAAGAGGAAAGTTTATAGCAATTGGAGCCTACATCAAGAAATTGGAAAGGTACCATATAAATGAGTTATCAATGCATCTCAAGGACATAGAAAAACAACAGCAAACCAAACCTGAAACTAGTAGGAGAAAGGAAATAATTAAAATTAGAGGATAAACAAAGTTGAAACCAAAAAAACTATACAAAAGATCAGCAGGTTTTATGAAAAAAAAAATAAACAAAATAGAAACATCATTGGCCCAACTGACCAAAAAAAAAGGAGAGAGAAGATTCAAATTGATAAATTTAGAGATGAAAAAGAAAATGTAACAGACACCATAGAAATAAAGAAATCATCAGAAATTACAACAAAGAGCTGTATGCCAACAAACCAGCAAACTTAGAAGAAATGGATAGATTCCTAGACACACACAACCCACCTAAATTGAGCCATGAAGACATAGAAAATCTAAGCAGATCCATAACCAAGATGGAAATTCAATCAGTAATAAAGACCTTCCCAACAAAGAAAAACCCAGGACTTCATGGCTTGACTGCCGAATTCTATCAGACATTTAAAGAAGAACTAACTCCAATTCTTCTCAAACTATTTAAAACAATTGAAAGGCAGGAAATCCTTCCAAGTACTTTCTCTGAAGCTGGCATCACCTTAATTCTTCAACCTAAAAAAGATACAACAGAGAAGGAGGACTACAGACCAATTTCCCTGATGAACATAGATGTAAAAATCATCAACAAAATACTATCCAATTGATTCCAACAACCCTCAGAAAGGTGGGATTTATCCCAGGTAAGCAGAGATGATTCAACATTTGCAAATCAATCAATGCGATACATCAACAGATTGAAGAACAAAAACCATATGATTATCTCAATAGATGCAGAGAAAGCATTTGATAAAATACAACACCCTTTAATGATGAAAACTTTAAGCAAATTTAGTATAGAAGGAACATTCCTCAACACAATCAAGGCAATTTATGACAAAAACACGGCCAGTGTCCTACTGAATGAAGAAAAGCTGGAAGCATTCCCATCAAGATCCGAAACCATAAAAGGATGCCCACCCTCACCACTGCTATTCAATGTAGTCCTGGAAGTTTTAGCCAGAGCCATTAGGCAAGAAAAAAGAAATCAAAGGGATGCAAATTAGGAAGGAGGAAGTCAAGCTATCCCTATTTGCAGATGACTTGATTCTATATAAAGAGGATCCCAAAGACTCCACTAAGAGACTATTTGAACTGATAGAAGAGTTTGGTAAAATGGCAGGATATAAAATCAATGCTCAAAATCAATAGCCTTTGTATACACAGACAATGCCATGGTTGAGAAAGAACTTCTAAGATCAATCTCATTCACAATAGCTACAAAAAAATAAAATACCTTGGAATAAATGTAACCAAGGATGTCAATGATCTCCATGATGAGAATTATAAAACATTAAAGAAACAGAAGAAGACATAAAAAATGGAAAAATCTTCCATGTTCGTGGATTGGAAGAATCAGTATAATAAAAATGTCCATACTACCAAAAGCAATTTACAGATTCAATGCAATACCAATCAAAATACCAAGGACATTCTTCTCAGATATAGTAAAAATAGTACTGAAATTCATATGGAAACACAGGAGACCCTGAATAGTAAAGCAATCTTACACAACAAAAATAAAGCTAGAGACATCACAATACCAGATTTTAAGACATACTATAGAGCAATTATAATCAGAACAGCCTAGTACTGGTACAAAAGCAGATGAATAGATCAATGGAGCAGAATAAAAACACCAGAAATCAACCCACACATCTACAACAAACTTATCTTTGATAAAGTAGCTAAAATAGATCCCTGGAGCAAGGACAGTCTCTTCAACAAATGGTGCAGGGAAAACTCCACATGCAGAAGTATGAAGCAAGACTTATAGCTTACACAAAAATCTACTCAAAATGGATTACAAACCTAAATCTACAACCTAATAATATCAAATTATTAGAGAACATTGAGGAAACCCTGGAAGATATTGGCATAGGCAAAGAGTTCTTGGAAAAGACCCCATAGGCACAGGCAATCAAAGCCAAAATTCCCAAATGGGATTACATCAAATTAAGAAGCTTCTGTACTGCAAAAGAAACACTCAACAAAGTTAAGAGGCTATTGACAGAATGGGAGAAATTATTTGCAAACTATGCAACTGATAAAGGATTAAAAACAGAATACATAAAAAAATCAAGAAAATTATAATTATGAATTGTATGAGGTTTGTATTCCTTAAATAAAAGGTTTCGGGGGGGAAAGAATTGTATCTACAAATCACAGTTAATCTGTTAAAAACTATTTTTTAAAAGTTTCTTAAATAGAATTTTTATCTTTAGAGTAGGTCAAGCAAAAGGAATTCTGCATGTTGTTGAGAAAGTGTTTTCCTGAGAAGCAGTTATGTTGGCATTTCATGAGCCATTTGGTTTCTTTTAGTTGTGGTGCTATGGCCATTGGTATGAACTTGGATTCTGAGAATAGCTAATTCCTTGGATAGCTATAAAGCCTTAAATAGGTTAGTAACTTGGGTTACATTCTTAAAGTTATCTCTGTAGCTGTCATGAATTCTGTTTGCTTTCACAGCATATCAAAATCACATACAACTCCAAAAGTAAACTGACTGTTTTTGTAAATATTAGCACTCTTATTCTGCGCTCCATTAAAAGCTTAGATGAGAGCTAACGTTCAGTCACTTCAGCTGACTTAAGTGCAGATAGAGAAGTCAACTTACCATGTTATTAAAAATCTACAACTCCCCATATACACCCCTGAGGTGTATATGTTTCTATATATAGAAAAGGTAATACCAGGGCTAGAGCTGTGGCACACTGGGCTAAGCCTCCGCCTGTGGTGCTGGCATCCCATATGGGTGCCAGTTCTATTCGTGGCTGCTCCTCTTCCAATCCAGCTCCCTATTATGGCCTGGGAAAGCAGTAGAAGATGGCCCAAGTCCTTGGGCCCCTGCACCCATGTGTGAGACCTGGAAGAAGCTCCTGGCTCCTGGCTTCAGATTGGCACAGCTCGACTGTTGTGGCCAATTGGGGAATGAACCAGTAGATAGAATCTCTCTCTCTCTCTCCTTCTCTATCTCTCTCTCTCCCTCTCCTCTCCTTCTCTCTCTGTGTGTAACTCTGACTTTCAAATAAAATAAATAAGTCTTTTTTTTAAAAAAAGCTATTGCTTCACTTCTAGAAACAGCCATCCTCTCCTAGTAATACTCAGAGTTCTCTTTTGGTCTCAGGGAAAGAGAAACTGGTGATGTTATTAATATATTTTAGGCATAAGGTCTTTTCTTCAAGAGAGCTATGTCCTAGATAATGCACAAAAGTATATGTAAAAACATAGAAAAGATCAGTAGTTACCACTGGTTGAGGGAGGGAAAGAGTGAGGCAGAAATGGGTGCAGAACAGGGCAATTTTAGGACAGTGCAACTATTCTGCATGGCAGAACACACAACACATAATACATACGCCAAAACCTAGACCTGTACACACAGAATGAACTCTTATGTGAACTAGAGACTTTAATAGTAACGTATCTGTATTTTAACCACTTTTAAAAAAATGCCTGAGATGTCAATAACTGGGGGAAACTGTCAGGACAACTCCTATACTTTTGATTAATTTTGCTCACAACTAAAATTGATCTAAAAATAAAAATCTATTAATTAAAAAACAAAACAACAACAACAAAAAAAACCAGATTGGGCGTTGTGGCCTGTGGGTAAGGCTGCCGCCTGCAGTGCCAGCATGTGGAAGACCAGGATGAAGCTCCTGGCTCCCCTGCACCCATTTGGGGAGTGAACCAGAAGATGGCAGATTTCTCCCTCTCAGTAATTCTTACTTTCAAATTAGTCAGAATTTGAAAGACAGAGTTACGGAGAGAGGTAGAGACAGATGAAGAGAGAGGTCTTTCATCCACTGGTTCACTCCCCAAATGACTGCAACAGCTGGAGCTGAGCCAGTCCTAAGCCAGGAGCCAAGAGCTTCTCCCATGTGGGTGCAGGGGGCCAAGGCCTTGCGCCATCTTCTGCTGCTTTCCCAGCCATAGCAGAGAGCTGGATGGAAGTGGAGCAGCCAAGACTCCAGCAGGTGCTCATTTGTGATGCTGGTGCTGGCGGTCAGAGCTTTAATCTGCTGCGCTGCAGCACAGGCCCCAAACAAATACATCTTGAAACACACACACACACACACACACACACACACACAGAAAAGGCTCTCTAAAGAAACCTTTTTTCCCCCATTACAGACTCATGATTTCAAATTGGCTGTGCTTCATCTTCCATAAATGCTAGAAGGCTAACATTTAGTGAATTTTTATAATTCTAAGATCTGCGTATGTACAGTTTTATTTTGCAGCCCAACAAATATTTATTAAAAGCATCCTATAGCCAAAGCAATGCAGCTGAATTAGTATTCACACAATCCTATCAAATAATGTTATTCATAATTCCCAAAAGAAAACACAGTTTGAAGAAAGAAATCAAAGACATACTAGTATCAGCCGACTAATCTGCTTTCCATACTCAACGTTCGAAACCATATCAAACCGAAGAGAATTGGTGCTTTCTCCCAATCGGGCGCTTTCTTCCATCATCTGGCAAAGCAAGCAACAGAGGAGAATGCTCGCCGTCCATCGCTCCCTACATGCAGAGCGCCTCTGTCAGTCTCAGCACAGGAGAGTGGGAGGGGCGCCCGGCATGCCTCGAGGCGCGAAAGGCAACCTGGGAGCGGTAGTTGCCCTGGACGCCTGCCAGTAGCACAGCAGTCGCAGCTCCGGACTCCGGTCAGCCAGTCTTGTGAGGGTAAGCTGAGGCAGGGCGGGGAGGAAAGGGCGCGAAAGTTAGAGAGTACAGTGAGGCGGGGGAGAAAAGGCGCGAAAGAGGGTAAAGAGGGGCGGGGGGAGAGTGTGAAAGTTAGAGGGTGAAGCCGAGGCGGGGGAAAAGGGCGCCAAAGTTACAGAGTACAGTGGGGCGGGGTAAAGTGCGCCAAAGTTAGAGGGCGAGTCAGGCGGTGGTACGCGATAAGGGACAAGGCAGCGCAGCCCAGAGCTGACTTGGTAGGTGGACCCCTACCTCAGTCTCTTCGGAGACGCAGTTGTCCTAGCGTCTGTGAAGGAAGGGTGGGGAGGAGCCAGAGCCGCATCCCGGCAGCCTCTCTTTCTTCAGAGCTCTGCCGCCGTCTCCACCATGCAGTCCCGGGAAGACGCTCCGCGTTCTCGCCACCATGCCAGCTCCCGTAGTGAGAGTCAGCCCAAAACATTTCACGAGCGCACAGTTTCAGCCTTTTACACGGGTCCAGAGGAGTTAAAGGACTCGGCCCATTCTGCAGCCATGCTGGCACAGCTCAAGTCGTTCTATGACGCGCGGCTGCTGTGTGATGTGACCATCGAGGTGGTGACGCCTGGCAGCGGGCCTGGCACGGGCCGCCTGTTCCCCTGCAACCGCAACGTGCTGGCCGCCGCGTGCCCCTACTTCAAGAGCATGTTCACGGGCGGCATGTACGAGAGCCAGCAGGCCAGTGTGACCATGCACGACGTGGACGCCGAGTCCTTCGAGGTCCTGGTGGATTACTGCTACACGGGCCGTGTGTCCCTGAGCGAGGCCAACGTGCAGCGCCTGTACGCCGCCTCTGACATGCTGCAGCTCGAGTACGTGCGGGAAGCCTGCGCCTCCTTCTTAGCCCGCCGCCTTGATCTGGCCAACTGCACGGCCATCCTCAAGTTCGCCGATGCTTTTGGCCACCGCAAGCTGCGATCTCAGGCCCAGTCCCTATATAGCTCACAACTTCAAGCAGCTCAGTCGGATGAGTTCGGTTCGGGAGGAGTCTCTGGCCGACCTGACGCTGGCCCAGCTGTTGGCCATCCTGCGCCTGGATAGCCTGGACATAGAGAGTGAGCTGACGGTGTGCCACGTGGCCCTGCAGTGGTTGGAAGCTGCGCCCAAAGAGCGGGGCCCCAGTGCTGCAGAAGTCTTCAAGTGTGTCCGCTGGACGCTCTTCACTGAAGACGACCAGGACTACCTGGAAGGGCTGCTGGCCAAGCCCATTGTGAGGAAGTACTGCCTGGACGTTATTGAAGGGGCCCTGCAGATGCGCTACGGAGACATGTTGTACAAGTCGCTGGTGCCGGTGCCAAACAGCAGCACCAGCAGCAGTAGCAGCAGCAGCTCTGTTGTCTCTGCAGGAGAAAATCCACCCCAGAGGCTGGGTATGTGTGCCAAGGAGATGGTGATCTTCTTTGGACATCCCAGAGATCCCTTTATCTGTTGTGATCCGTATACTGGGGACATTTACACAATGCCTTCGCCTTTGACCTCCCTTGCTGTTACTGGAGTTGTCATCACTTTCACTGTCTGTGTCTCTCCAGACCATGATATCTATCTAGCTGCCCAGCCCACTAAAGAATTCTGGGTGTACAAACCAGCCCAAAATAGTTGGCAGCAACTTGCAGACCCCTTGCTGTGTCGTGAGAGCATGAAGATAGCATATCTTGATGACTATGTTTACATTTTGGGTGGGCGAGACCCTGCTACTGGAGTGAAATGGAAGAAAGTGGAATGCTACAGTGTTCAGAGGGACCGCTGGGTGTTGGTGGCTTCACTGCCTCATTTTATGTCCTTTAACCTACTGGTAATTCAGAACTATCTCTATGTCCTCAACAGTAAGCACATGTACTATTATGACCCTAGCCACAATATGTGGCTGAAGTGTCTTTCTCTTAAGCACGGTAGCTTACGTGGAGCATGCGTCTTCAATGATGAGATCTATTGTATCTGTGATCTACCCAACATGAAGGTCTACAACCCTGTCAGAGCACAGTGGAGACAGATTAATAATATTCCCTTAGTGGTAGAGACCAACAACTACAAGATTATCAACTATGGCCAAAAATTGTTGCTTATCACCTCACACGCCCCAAAATGGGAAATAAACCGAGTGACTGTGTATGATAGTACAGAAGACCGATGGATAAATATAGGCACTCCATTAGGCCTCTTGCAGTTCGACTCTTACTTTTTGTGCCTTTCAGCTCGTGTTTATCCTTGTTGCCTTGAATCAGGTCAGAGCTTCCTCATTGAAGAGGATATACCAAGTGACTATAGTACTGATTAGAACTTAGGTGAATTCAGTGAGGTGAGCTCTGAATCCAGTAGTTTAAGTTCAATGTCTAATGATAATTATTGGGTTCCAGTAACACTTGATTGCAATATGCAAGATTAGCAGGATTTGTTGTAATGAAATTGAAGCACCAGGTGTTTTTACTGCTGTGCAGAGTATCCTAAAGAGAAAGCCTTTTCACTGGGGACGGGAGGAGTTATATCACCTGAAGGTATAGTTTAGAAAAGGGTTATGCTTGAAATAGTATAATTTAACGTTTGAAAATTTTAGCACTCATAGGAATCATACTGTTTAGTAATGTACTCTGCCAAGAATCCAGTGTTGTTTATTAATGGTTGTATTTCATTACAGTAATTTATTGTAATAAACTTTACATTGCTTTGTGCCATAAGGACTGTAACTTTTAAATTTTAGTTTTTATAATAGAAACATGATTGGATAGAAATTGCTAAGACTGTTTTGAAAAGAGTACATTTTCCTTTGGTACATGTATAGATTTCCAAAATGTTAAACTATATAGTAGGTGTTTACAAAATGTGTTCTAACTGAAATACATTTGGCTTGGTTTTAGTTTTCTCCTCAACTATGACTAGGAAGGTGGATTTTATATATTAGAATTACTGATTTCATTTGATAATTTACATAATGACTGAAAGTCAAACAGTAACAAAAACAACTGTTTCAAAAGATTTTTCACTTTTAGATTATAAAATGTAAAAGAATTTGCAAAGTGACCAATTTTCATCTAAAGAAATTCTAGTACTGTCACAAATCTACAAACTTTACAAGCAAAAATAACTTGCTTATAGTTTTATTTTTTTTATGCGAACCTGATACATGTATCATTCCATCAGGAATAATTCTTTTTTTTTACGGTACATGATTGTATACAAAATTTATATCTGCTTTCTTAAGAAGTTTGTTATTCCTAAAATATTTTAGCTGTACAATTTTGGTGTTCATCATAGAGGATTCTTCAGCAGGATGTGATAATTCTTTACTGTTTTATGAAGTTATAGTGGTTTTGAAAATATGTATAAGCTAAATAGTATTTTATTGAGATCAGTAGTTACTCTTTCAACTGTGAAATCAAGTGTCAAAGACCTTTAAAACTTTAAGCTGGCCAGCACCGCTGCTCACTAGGCTAATCCTCCACCTTGCGGCACCGGCACACCGGGTTCTAGTCCCAGTCGGGGGCGCCGGATTCTGTCCCGGTTGCCCCTCTTCCAGGCCAGCTCTCTGCTGTGGCCCGGGAAGGCAGTGGAGGATGGCCCAAGTGCTTGGGCCCTGCACCCCATGGGAGACCAGGATAAGCACCTGGCTCCTGGCTTCAGATCAGTGTGGTACACCAGCTGCAGCGGCCATTGGAGGGTGAACCAACGGCAAAGGAAGACCTTTCTCTCTGTCTCTCTCTCTCACTGTCCACTCTGCCTGTCAAAAAAAAAAAAAAAAAAAACCACACACACACACACACACAAAACACAAAAAACACAAAAAACCGAACACTTTAAGCTGTATATAGAACTTTTTTGTAGAGCTCTGAAATTTTGTCAATTTTTTTAAGTGACCAAATGTTCTTGATTATCAGTTTGAAGGTATTTTTGTATTAAAAATTAACAGTTGAGAGTTGAAGGATATTAAGTGGAAAATGGCATTAGGGCCAATAGTTTATTTCTTGTAAAATGTTTCCCTAGTAGTGGTACACATGGCTATTTTGTTGTGGCATTTGGACATGGTTTGTGTTTCTCTGTGAACCATGCTCCACTGTTTGTTTTTCTGTCACCATAATATAAGGAAATATCTAGAAATAGAGACTAAATTCCACAAAAGTGACATTTTGAAATATAGGTGTTTTCTTTTTGAGCATTGGATACTTATGTAATGGTTTTCGTGTTATATATAAACGACAAATAACCAGATGCATATGATGTATACATTTTTTTCTATACCTACTGAGAATCATCTTCGTGTACATTCAATAACATGCTAATTTGTATCAATGTTTATTCTCTAGTTAATGAATATTAGCCATTCACATTAAAGCACAGGAATATGGGGAATATGAAGATGGAAAAGAGGAGACACAAAAGGATTAAAACCAAAAAATAATGTTTTCTTTGTCATTTCAATTGGCCTTTCGAAAAGTCTACAAGACAGGCCTGTTTAGCATTATTTTTAGTGAAGTAAAATTCCTGCCTTGTCACTGTGTGTCCCTCTATAATAACAAATGTGCTGTATCCACCTAAGGCTACATTTTGTTCCATTTGACTGCAGTGCAATTACAAAGCTATTCTCAATATTGTTCATTTTTGGTCAAGTTTTTCTTACCATTAACTTGTTGCTGAAAGCTTTTTGTTCTGTAAGGTTGAAACTTGAACAATGCTTATCTCAACCAGGTTATCCATTTACAGAATAAAATTACACAGTTGATGTGTAAAAGACAAATTCTGCAGTGTGTCATTCTTAACCTTTGAGTTAAAGTCTAGGCTAAATAGAAGTGTCTTAGTTTACAATGAGATTTTTCTTGGAAAGAAATTTTTCTTATGTCTTTTTAAATTTGAAAGAGCTACAGAGAGAAGGGAAGAAGCAGAGCTTCCATCTGCTGTGTCATTCTTCAAATAGTTGCAGGTCTGGGCCAGGCCAAAGCCAGGAGCCAGGAACTCCATCTGCATCTCCCCTGTGGGTAGCAGGGTCCCAAGTGCTTGGTCAGTCTCCTGCCTTCCTAGGCTCATCAGCAGGAAGCTAGATTGGAAGCAGAGCAATTTAGACTCAAACTGGCAATATGATTTGGGATGCCAGCATTACAATTAGTGGCCCTAATATTTTGGTTTTGTCATCTAAGGTACTAGTAATTAACCTTAATTTTGTACATATATGATTTGTACAGGTTGGTTATTAATAAAACTGAGAAACCTCAGGCTTCTTTTTTTTTTTTTTTTTTAAACCCCAAGAGACAGAGAGCTCGGATCCATTTGCACTCACTGTCTGAATATGTGCCAGGACTCAAACAGGCTGAAACTGGCCAAGGTCAGCATTGGCAAGAAGCTGACTCTGGGATCCAGAGTCAGGCACTTCAATATGGGACAGAGACATACTAAATGACATCCTAACCACTAGGCCAAATGCTCACCCCTGCTTCCTGATTTTTAAATTCAGTGGT